GCGGCAATAAACCTGTCAGAAATAAGCCATTGAGAAACTAAGACAGGCCTTTACACAGAGACTCGAGCAATTGGCCATGTCTTGCTGAGATTACATAAACAAAACCACTTTGCCACCTGCCTGATAAACTGGATGCTTTATTGCCACACGGACAACTGATTATCCTGCAGAAGAATTTATGGAGTTGGTCGCAGGAAAGCTGTGTCTTCAAACAGACACTTAAGGCCAAATGTAACAAGAAACAAAGAAATTTTGATAAGGAAACCAGCTACAGACCTGCAGTAACTCAAATGAAAGAACTCTAAAGAAATCATTAATATATCACCTCAGAGACCGAAGGATGAAAATCTGTATAAGAATCAAATACCAGAACTCCACCTTAGCAGAAATTTGAAGAACAACACTGCAGAAGGACCGAACCCTGGACAGTCCTCCCAGTGACAGATCACTGTTGGTTAAAGTCCTGGCCAGGTGTCACCATTAGTCAGGTAATAGCTAAGCTGGGTCGCAAGCTTAAACTAGTTTAGAGCAGTCTAATAGTTGGTTGCTACAGGCAATAAAGTTTGAATTATTATTTCAGTACTTGATTTGTCTGAGATTTCTTAATAAGTAACAGCCTTAAAGGTAACTTGTGGTGATTTACCCACAAACAACTCTTTTTGCTTTTTGTTTTTATTATGCGAGATGGAGATTTCACTATTTATTTTGTTGTTGCCTTAGGAGCCTGGCTATGCAAAAATTGGTTGCTTTGTTTCTTACAGTACAACACTTCAATAGCACCCCCTGCCTGTAAAGCTCTTTGGCACCACGCAGATTATGAAAAGTGCTATATGTGTCTTTTACTTTTTCTTAAAGTCATAGAGATGTACAGCATGGAAACAGACCCTTCGGTCCAACTCGTCCATACTGACCAGATATTCTAAATAAATCTGGTCCCATTTGCCCCAAAGCCCTCTAAACCCTTCCTATTCATACACCCAACTTCTGTTCCACAAACGCATGGCAGCTACCACAGTCTTTACTAGGGGTGAAGACTCAGGGTGAAGCAATCCAACATGAGACAAATGCAGGATTAGACTTCCCCAAGCGAAGCCAAAGAGCTCAGCAGGAAATAAAAGCCAGAGAAGTAGACAGAATTCCAGATACATATTTGATGTTACCTGGTTTCTGGGTGCGATGCTACACATTGTAACAACGCGAGTGCGTTACACACGCGGTTGGACTGATGAGCCGTCAGAGTTGGAGGGTTGATAGATGGATAAATATTTACAATCTCCTGGAAAATAAAGAAATGTAGAAATAAAATCACATTAAAATACAAAGAAGGTAATGCAGGAGGTGCGTGGGGTTACAGCATGGTCAAGCCTACACTAAACTCAACCTGTTAAGCAACATGAGGAAACCACACCTAATCACAGTTTTTCAGGCACTGTCAAAGCTACAACTCTGTTGGGATTTCCAGAAGCTTCTGCAGGTGCTGAATGGGATCAGCATCAGGTAACCAGGGAGCAAAGAAATAAAATGATTCACGTGGTGAAAACCACAGAGCCTGGAGAAACTGAGCAAACAGAGTGTACACTGGGCAGGACCCATTTAAACAATATTTATTTGCAAGATACAGGCATTGCTGGCAAGGTTAGCATTGATTACCCATCATCAATTGCCTAAGCCTCACAGCCGCAAGGCTTACTGGGTCATTTCAAAATGTGGTTAAGCCTCAAGCACATGGAGTCACGTACCATAGAGGTGGACAGGGAAACAGCTGCAGGTTTCCTTCTCTCAGGGACATTCTGAAACTGATGGGACTTTAAATCACAATCTTCTCATTTCATGGTCACTGTTACTGTTTCTTTTAAATTTCAGACTGACCTCAATCAAATTTAAAATTCCCATGGGAAATGTGATGTCCTGTTTAATCCTCTGCATTATTACTGCAGTAACAAACCCACCCTGTTATTGCACCGTGCACATGCTTCACACCCTTCACTTGTGTGAACATCAGAGACAGACAGACACAGAACATAGCCTTTTCAGGCTCAGTCCACCTGGAAAGGTGGGTCTAAATTTCATCCTTTGGTTTGTATTTAAATGTTTTTTATAAAAAATTGCCAGTTAAGCATTTTTAAGAAAACAGAGGTCAGGGAGAAGTCTGATGATTAAATAAAACCAATCACAAACTTTTGCACCTCACTAGTTTTGCAGTTATATTCTGCCTGCCAAGGCTCACTATTGTACAACCTCTACCTTTTTTAAAATGAAAATCGAGATTAACTAGTGATTCCCTTGGGCCATGTAGGGGTTATCACATAGTTATAATCCCATTTTGCAGCAACTGGCCCATATGCCTTGTATGCCATAGCATCACATACACATCTAAAAACTTCTTCAATGTTGTGAGGGCTTCTGCCTCTACCACCCTCACAGGCAACGATTTCCAGATCCCCACCACCCTTTCATGAAAAAAAAAGGTCTTCACGTCCCATAATTTTACACATTTAAATTATGCCCCCTAAGTCTCCTCTGCTCTGAAGAAATCCACCTCAGTCTGTCTAATCTCTCTTCATAACCAAAACTCTCCAGACCAGGCAACATCCTGATAAATCTCCTCTGCAATCTCGCCAGCACTATCACATTCCTCTTATTACATGGAATGCAGATGGGCACACAATATTCTAGCTGTGGTCTAAACAAACGTTTTATCCAGTGGATGATCATCACCTGTAGGAGGGCAGCAATGGTTCCAAAAGAGTGCCAGAGCATGGGGGCCAGGTCAGGCACCGACTCCCTCTTCTTGCTGAGTTCTAACAAGGCATTTTCCCGGGTCTCAGGGCTGGACAGCTCGTTGATCCACTGGTAAATCTTCTCGCGATCCACCTGAGCCAGCGCAGTAACCGGCTGTGAGCAGGATAGGGAGCAAAAATCAACAAGCAGGTCAGCATCAATGACAACAGAATCACACACAACAGAATCGCAGGAGGCCAATTGGTTCATCAGGTCTGTGCGATCCCCCTGCAATAGTTATTCACTCGTCTCACTCCACCATCCCCAAGCCCTGTAAGACTTCTCTCAATTTATGCATCTAATTCCTTTTTAAAAACTACAATTGAAATTCGTCTCCGTCACATTTTCAGACAGCAAACGCACAGCAGCCGCATTACAGGCTTCTTCAGAATGGAACGGTCCTGAATGGTCTGGCCCTCATTCTCAGACTATGCCCCTAGTTCTAGCATTCCCAAGCAGTGAAAACAGTTTACCTTTATCTATACTGTCTTTTCCTGTTAATATCTTGAAGACTTGGATCAGATCACTCCTTAACCTCCTACACTCCAGAGAAAACTAACCTAATTTATAATCTGATTTAACTTAACCCCTTAAGTCCAGGTACAATTCTTGTAAACCTACATCGTTCTCCCTCCAAGACCAACATATCTGTCTTAAATCAACTGAGAACCAAGATCAGGAACAAGAGGAGAGACTATTTGGCCCCTCCGTCAAGCTTCTGTCATTCCACGCGATTGGGGTGGCGGGGTGGCCTCACAGTGCACAGGGACATGGGTTTGACTCCACCCTCGGGCGACTGTCTGCGTGGAGTTTGCACATTCTCCCCGTATCTGTAATAACAGTGTAAAGTTGGATGAACACAGCAGGCCAGGCAGTATCAGAGGAGCAGGAAAGCTGACGTTTCAGGTCAGGACCCTTCTTCAGAAATGGCTTCGCAGTGGGGTTATAACTCACTCAGAGATAGTAAGAACTACCGATGCTGGAGCCCGAGATAACACAATGTGGGGACCCTTCTTCAGAAAATCCCGACCCGAAACGTCAGCTTTCCTGCTGCTCTGATGCTGCCTGGCCTGCTGTGTTCCTCCAGCTCCACGCTGTGTTATCTCACTCTCCAGCATCGGCAGGTCTTACTATTTCCCCGTGTCTGTGTTGGGTTTCCTCTGGGTACTGCAGTTTCCTCCCACGGTCCAAAGATGTGCAGATTAGGGTGGATTGGCTATGCTAAATTGCACGCAGTGTCCAGGGATGTGCAGGCTTAGGTGGGCTAGTCATGGGGAGTGCACGGTTACAGGGACGGGGGGGAGGGGGGTGGTGTTCCCCCCCTCGATGGGCAGAATGGCCTGCTTCCACACTGTAGAGATTCTATGATTGTCTGATCGTTGCTGGTCTGACTTTTAACTTCAGCTCCACTTTCCCGCCCTCCCCTCCCGCCTCCCTGGTGACCAGAAATCCAACAGGTTCGGCCTCAAGTCTACCCGAGGCCTTCAGCGGTGCCCGGGCAGACTCCCTACAGCTTCCCCGCCGCCTGAGTGCGGGAAACTCGGGTAGTCCCTGCCCGGCCGGGGTCACAGCTCAGGCCTCCCACAGCAAAGGCGGCTCTGTCTCCCCCAACCCCCGGCTTAAACAGGGGGAGGGGGGGAGGAGGCCCCGGGACGATAAGCCCCCGCCCCCGCCCCCACCCCCCCCCCCGCCGCCAGTCCCCACCCCGACTTACCGCCCCTGCCCCCGCCCCCACCCCCTCCGCCAGTCCCCACCGGGACTTACCGCCCCTGCCCCCAGGCTGTGCATCTTCCGCTGGTGCCGCTGCCTTTTCGGGTAAAAAAACTTCACATCAACGAGCCCGAGGCTCCCGGCTCCTGGTCCGGTGAACCTTGACCTCTGACCCTTAGTCACCGCCTCTACCAGAACACATTTTTTAAAAATACACCACGAGAATCATTCAAACGCTTCACAATCACGACTCTCTTGTGTAGGATAATCTCCAGTTTCACCTCGCACCACTCCGCGGAATTATATGTTTGAGCAAGTTTCCGCTTTCACCTTTGCCCTTTCACCCCGTGACCGCCGCATTAAAACACGAGTTGAAAATGATCCTTGTTTATTTTATATGAAGCTGTGCCCGAAGCGCGCTTCAGAGGATTAGCGTATTTTTTAAAAATGATAAACTTTGCGGGAGTGTTCCCTCAGGCTGCGCGCTGCTTGCTGGGAGGCTGCCTTCGCGCCATTTTGAGCGGCGGTTGGGTGAAGAATATTTTAATGTTTTTATTTGAGGCGGTGTTGGGGTTTGGGGAGAGCTGGTTGTTTTAGAGCCGGACGGGTGGTCGGCGGGAGGATCGGACCGGAGAGAAGAGACGAGGGGAGAGGAGCGGGCTGTGTCTGAGAGCCCTGCCCCCCCACCGCCGGGCCCCCGGGGCATTGTGGGAGCGGCAGTCCCGCCATCTCGCGGCGGCGGCGGCGGTGGCGGGAGCGGAGCGCGAGGCCCCGTCTCTATGGGAACGGCCCGAGAGGTACCGTAACCCCCACCCGCGGGAGAGAGAGAGAGAGAGAGAGTGTGTGTGTGTGAGAGAGAGTGCACCGCACCCCCGGGGTGTGGGGTGGGGGAGGGACAGACAGAGGGTACCAGACCCCTAGGGGGAAGGGGGTGTGGAGACAGA